CAGGAAAAGTTTAATACTAAATTTAAAAAAAATAAACATTTATAGAAACGGTTTAAAAACACGGGAAAGAGCCCAGTTAGTGTACCCGCTACATTAGCCTGATCCACACTCCAAAACCCTTGGAGGATCCACTGCCCCCACTGGTCTCACCCAGAGGTCCAGGTCCAATTAATGAGAACTCCTTAAGTGTGGCCTGCGTGGTTCTAGGCAGGCAGATTTATTGTCCAAGTGTCCGATCACTGAAACAAGACGCTGTTCTGCTGTGCTCTTCTCTTTGTCATGTCCCAAAACAGACTGTCAAGCTGGATAATTAGCTCCCGCTAACCTAAAAGAGCCGTCTCTGACAGGCCATCAGTCATACGCTCGTCTCCTGCGGGGTGTGTCTGGATCTGTGAGCGTGAGCAAACACCGGTGTCTGTCCGACACCAGAAGGTGCCTAAAGAGGGACAGATGGTAATGTGGCTCCATGCAGGTTCCTTAAGGCAGAACAAGGTTCAATTTAATCAGCCGTCGACTGGCTTCGTGACTCTTGCCAGCGTTACAACTCCTCTAACGCACCGTCCTTTTTTTAATGAAACTTTGCTGGAAGTCAGTCAGCTCAGAGACTTTCAGACTTGGCTGCATTACAACGTCGTTAAAAAAAAAAAAGGCTGAGAGCAAACGTAACACATGCTGCGATAACCAGAGGAGATTTCTACGTAAATCATGGGGAGAACGGTACGCTCAACCTGTCGGTGAGTATTTAGATGCGTGCGTAGCATCAACAATGAAACAACACCACAGTGCAGACAAAAGTCAAATGCTCGTGAAGCGTGCACACTATTGCGATCCAGTTTTCTTCTGCACGTTATTCGGCGCAGTTCTCGTCCCGCACTTTTCAAGCTATTTCAGCAAATCGTATATCAAAATGTTCAACTCATTCAGGAGGCTTTTGGTATTGGTGCAACTTTAGCTTTTTTGAAATGTTTAGCCTTTTCTGCCACTTCTGTCCTCATAGAAAATGAATTGAACTCGTTTTACATCCTTCAAATCTTTAGATCTTTTACTGCTCCTTTCACATTTTCTTTCAGCTTCCTTGTGCAAATTTAAACTTTTTTCAGCTACGTTCAGTTTATTTCAGCTGTTTTTTCAGCTGTATTGTTCTTTCAGATTTTTTCTGCTAACTGCTATATGTTTGTGCTTCTTTCTGCTAATTTCTGCTTGTTATGCTCCTATAAGCTTATTTGTACAAGTTTCAGCTTTTCCTACTATTTCAGCTACTATTTAGCTTTTAATACTAATATAAGCTTTTTCAGCAAATTCCACACTTTTTGTCCTCGTTTCACTTTTTTCAGCCTAATTCAGCAAAAAATGTGTTCTTTCCACTTCCTTCTTGCAATTCCAGCTTATCTCTGCATTTTTAGCTACTTTTCAGCTGTTTCTTGCTAATTTCAGCTTTTCCTTTTTTTTTGTGCTCATTTCTGCTTCGTTCGGCCTAATTGGGCAAATGTGTTCTTTCCATTTTGTTATACTAAATTAAGCTTGTTCTACCTTTTAAGCTACCTTTTTTTTAACTAATTTTAGCTGTTTTCAGATAAATTCAAGGTTTTTTGTGATAATTTCTGCTACTTTCAGCCTAATTAACTTGTTTCTGCTAAGTTCAGCTGATTATGCTCCTTTCTGGTTATTTCTGATAGTTTCAGCTACTATTTGGCTGTTTTAAACAAAATTTAGCCTTTGCAGTTACTGGTAAATCCACATTTTTGGAGCTCATTTCAGCGCCTTCTGCTTCCTTTTGGTAGTTTAAACTTCTTTCTGCCTTTTCAGCTACTTTCAGCTATTTTTTGCTACTTTCTGCTTTTTTTTTTTAGCTAATTTTCTGCTTATTTAAACGTAATTCGGCAAATACAGTATGTGTTCTTTCTGCTGTCTACTGCTAAGTTAGGCTTGTTCGTCCATTTCAGCTATATTTCAGCATGTTTTTAGCTAATTTCAGCTGTTTTTCAACAAGTTCTTCTACAACAAGCATTCACACTGTATTTTTGCAGAAGATGCAATGTCTCCAGATATCTTTGTTGCTTGTATTTTACAGATACTGGTCTAAGTTTTGTTGTGATAAGAGCTGAGACTGATCCCCAGCACACGTTTCGAGGGCTGACGGATTGCGCAACATCGTTGTTTAAAATTTTGCGATTATTTTGTGTCAAATCTGTCTGTTTGCAAAATTTCTCATGAACCACTTGAAGGATTTTAAGCAAACTTCCAGGAAGTAATCTTTGGATGTGTTACTATAATTGATTAAATTTGGAAGCCAACTCATATTGAGATGACCATCACAGCCAACTGACATTATAAAACACAAGCATGGCTTTGATTCAGACTATTTTAGTTATTGTTTAAAAAAAATTGGTGTGGTAGTAGCTGAAAGTCATTTGTATCATATTCTCCATGTGATCTTTTTTTTGTGCAACTTTTCCACTTACTACCTTTTGGATCAACGGTTTGTGTCAGCTCTGTTTGTCTGTTAGCAAAATATCTCGTGAACCACTAGACAGACTTTAATAAAACTTTTAGAAAGTGATCATAGAATAGACATCTACAAGTCAGTGCAGTTTAAGATGGCTGCCACAGTCCACTGTTCTTAGAAAACACCTAAGTGGCTGTGATTCTGTCAGTTTTACAGAGATGGAGCCAAAACTTGGTGTGGTAGCAGCTGAGAGTCGGACACATCAAACACTTTGAGCGTGGCGTCTTGTGACATTTTATTTTTAAGGTTTCACCCAAAGCAGCTTCGACAAAAGAAGATCTTATTCTAAAACTTGATTGTAATCAGTGTAGATGAACAGATGCTGGGATATATTCATCATTTAACGCGGGTTCCTCATTTTTCTGGACTGAATAAAACGTGCATTGAATTTAAGGAAATGCAAAGTGAGACGTCATTTATATTTGACCCATCAAAATGAATGCGGTCATTTATTTACAGAATCAAATTTAACATCAAACATGTACATTAATTTGGCAAATTATGAAAATAACAACAAAGCAATCAATCAGGAAAAATCATACGGCCATGATTTTTCCGTTGCTGCACCAAAGACATTTATGAAAACTGTACAACTATGATCTTTTACCCACATGAATGTGGGTGAGCATTTTACACAGACATTTCTAAATATCTGGAAGAATTTCTACTTGATAGAAAAGTTTAAAGATGGGAAGAAGTTTAGAGGGAGTTAAGATGGTATGTGAGGGAACTTAAGTGTTCACCAGAATCGACACTCTCCGGCTTTCTTCAGCTTTTCCTTACAGTACACTTAGGTGATGAAATCGGCTCCTTTACCTGGAGATGTCTCAGGTGAGATTCCGTTTAACGCACCCTTTCAGCGTCTCAGTAGGATGCTGTTACTCGTCCGAAGTAATGGCGAGGCTCTGTTCGACACATATTCACCTCAGTGGAAAATGTTATAATCCCATGGAACTCGGGAGAGCTTTGTTGTCATGTCAGGAACTCCAACAGCACTCCATCAGAACTCAGCAGAGCTTGAGTAGACTCTCACCGAACTCTACGCTCTCAGAACTCTTAGAACTCCGACAACTCTCTAACTCTCTGAGTCAGTGTAGACCAGGAAGTACTGACATTTTAAAGACTCTTTCCCGGTTCACTTTTTGGGATTTTTCATTGGTCAGAAACGACCAGACGGGGTGGGTTTTGTGACGTAAGAGGTTAGAGACAGCGAGAATTGTTATGGGACAGCTCAGAAATGTTCTCACAGACCGAGAGGGTTTTGTTTTGGCGTGTTTCAGGATACAGGTGCAAAACATCTCTACTTACGTCTGATAGGATTCTAAAACATGACAGTTTTAACATAACAACTTGTTTTTCGTTTGACTGTAACCTTGTAAACGCACACACTTGCTCATTCAAAAGCAGAAATCAGAAAATGCATAAACTCTGCAACAGCTTTTAACATGAGAATAAAAATCATTACTCAGTTAATAAAATTGATTAGTTCACTGCAACATCTAAAATGGTTTGAACTAAGACACTTTGATTATCAACATTTGTAAGATAGTAATGATAATAAAAAGAGTGTTCTTTTCACTTGAATCTTCAAGAAAGAAAGTCTCAGGATGGGTGAACCTGTATTTATGGATTCAAATAAATGAAATGACAGTTCCTGTCCCACAAGGTTCTAAAGGTCAAGAGTTTTGACCTTAGACTTAGTTTCGACGTAGGCCTAGTCCACTACATCAGCATTTATGCAAAGTCTTTATTAATTACATGTAAATGATGTTCATGCTTTGAGTGTCTTGGTTTGTTCATTTGTTTTTCGTTGTTTCAGCTGAAGTGTCTGTTATTTGTCTCTTCAGGCACTGCAGAAATTTAAAAGGTGATTTTTATGCATTTGTTTGAAACACAGCACATCGTTCCATTTGTCTTCCTTTATTTTGACGTTTTTAAATCCTCCCCCACAATAATAAATTTGCTTCATCGTGGGATTAAAGCAACAAATCTGCCGAACAGTCAAACTCGTTTTGACGGCTGGAGTGATGGAGAGGGATCGATGGTGACTTCCCGTCAGCTGAAGGAGATCCGAGTCCCAAAGCTCGTTGTGGTTGTAGTCGAGGGTTTGGTTGTTACTTCACTAAATTCTCCGTCTGCGTCGCTCGTTTCGAACTGACGCAGCTCATCAGCAGCTCTGCGTGTCATATTCAAATCCTTGTTTTGACGTTTGCTCTCGGACGTTTTATTTCCCGTCCTATGTTTTCATCACTCGCTCTGTTTGCATCCAGAACTATAGTTTTGAGCGCTACTTTTAAAAAAAAACTAAAAGTTGTTGTTTACAGTGATTTATCTATTCTACAGAGGAGTTTGGAAGGGTATAAAAAAATGATCAAAACAAATGTGTTTATTTGTTTGTTCAGCAGTTTTTGCACCCACAAATTAACATAACGAGTCGTACCATTTTTCTCTCAACATCATGTTGACAATAACGACAATCGTTTTTCTGTGTCAGGCTTCAGAGGAGGCGTCTCTGCTGGTGTCCAGCCCCAGGATGCTGCTCCCGGCATCGAGCGCGCTCCCGCCCGGCGCGCCCCTATCCGTCTACCACCAGATGCAACTGCTGCAGCAGCAGCTCCAGCAGCAGCAGCAGCAGACGCAGGTGGCTGTAGCACAGGTAAGTTTAACAGAAACAGAAAATGATACTTTCTTTAAAAAAAAAACAAATGCAGAAATGCTAACTGCTGATTGGCTACAGATCAAAACTGGAAAAAAATGGAGATGTCAAAACTTGTTTTTGTTGCAGATCTTAAAAAAATGGAGTTTAGGTATGAGTTTATGATTTCTGATTACTGGGCCTTATATTTTCTAATTATGTCTCTTATTGTGTTATTTTTTGAGTAAATGCTCTCTTCCGTGAGCAGCATGTGGTCGTGTTAAAGTGGTTGTGGGTAATAAGAAGTGAACGATCTGCTCCATTACCTGCTCATGCTTGGATTATCATCAGAATAAATCCCATTTTCCTTTGGTCGCGTCACTTCTCTGTGATTCTACTCTGGAAGTGCGAACCCTCTCTGATCTTCTGCTTATGGTACGATTCAGCTAAAGGTGCAACATACTCTGCTGCACCCTCCAGTAACAACACAAGCTGTTAAGGTTTTGGAAGACATGATGCTTAAAAAGTCAGTGGAAGAGTTTATTTCTATTATTATGAGTAAATATTTTGTTGGATGAGTCTGGCTGCAAAGAGCAGCTGTAGCCTGAAGTGACTTTTCTGCTCGTGTGAAAGCTCATGAAGCATTCTCACTATTGTCATCCATTTTTCTTCCGTAGATTGTTTTTTGGCATCGCTCTCGTTCCACAATTTTTGTGCTTTTTCAGCAAATCATAAATCAAAATGTTCGGCTCGTTCAGGAGAACGGTGCTATGATTTTTGGGATTGGTGCAACTTTAGCTTTTTGAAATATTTAACCTTTTCGTCCATTTTTGTCTCGTAGAAAATGAATTGAACTCATTTTACATCCTTCAAATCTTTAGATGTGTTTACAACCTTTTACTGCTCCTTTCACATTTTGTTCTGCTTCAGCTTCTTTCAGCTTCTTTGTGCAAATTTAAAAATGTTTTCAGCTAATTTCAGCTGTTTTTTTCTAGCTGTTTTGTTCTTTAAGATTCTTTCTGCTAACTACAACATTGCTGTGCTTCTTCTAACGTATTTCTACTAAGTTCAGCTTGTTATGCTCCTTTCAGCTTATTTATGCAAGTTTCAGTTTTTTCTGCTATTTCAGCTACTATTTAGCTGTTTTATGCTCATGGGTATTTCAGCTTTTTTGGCAAATTCACTATTTTTTGCACTCATTTTTTTTCAGCCTAATTTGACAAAATAGTGTTCTCTACTTCTTTCTGGTAATTTAAGCTTCTTTCTTTTTTATCTACTTTTCAGCTGTTCTATGCTAATTGTAGCTTGTTCAGCTAATTCCACATTTTTTTCACCCGTTTCTGTTACTTTCAGCCTAATTAACTTATTTCTGTTGAATTCAGCTTTTTACTCCTTTCAGCTTACTTCTGCTAGTTTGAGTTATTTCAGCTACTATTTAGCTGTTTTATGCTAATTTTAGCTTGTTCAGCTAATTCCACATTTTTTTCACCCGTTTCTGTTACTTTCAGCCTAATTAACTTATTTCTGTTGAATTCGGCTTTTTACTCCTTTCTGTTTACTTCTGCTAGTTTGAGTTATTTCAGCTACTATTTAGCTGTTTTAGGCTAATTTTAGCTTTTTCAGCTAATTCCACTTTTTTCACCCATTTCTGTTACTTTCAGCCTAATTAACGTATTTCTGTTGAATTCAGCTTTTTACTCCTTTCAGCTTACTTCTGCTAGTTGTAGTTATTTCAGCTACTATTTAGCTGTTTTATGCTAATTTTAGCTTTTTCAGCTAATTTTACAATTTTTTTCACCCGTTTCTGTTACTTTCAGCCTAATTAACTTATTTCTGTTGAATTCAGCTTTTTACTCCTTTCAGCTTACTTCTGCTAGTTTGAGTTATTTCAGCTACTATTTAGCTGTTTTATGCTAATTTTAGCTTTTTCAGCTAATTTTACAATTTTTTTCACCCGTTTCTGTTACTTTCAGCCTAATTAACGTATTTCTGTTGAATTCAGCTTTTTACTCCTTTCAGCTTACTTCTGCTAGTTGTAGTTATTTCAGCTACTATTTAGCTGTTTTATGCTAATTTTAGCTTTTTCAGCTAATTTTACAATTTTTTTCACCCGTTTCTGTTACTTTCAGCCTAATTAACTTATTTCTGTTGAATTCAGCTTTTTACTCCTTTCATCTTACTTCTGCTAGTTTGAG